ATTTTGGAAATCTTGATGATCTTCCTCCGGACCAGGCGCAGCATCGGGGTGGGTAATTTCGACCCTTACAACGTACCAATTTTATTCTTTCTTCTAAATCCGGGCTACGACATTCTATCAATCACGTAACAAGAAATAACAATGATATATAATAAGAAAAATTTTTTTGGAAACTTTTACTATAATACTTTATTATTTTAATATTATTTTAATTCCAAAAGTTGTGTCAATTATTACATTAATAACGTATCAGATGTATCAAAAAATCCTTTTTTGCACCAGTGCAATAGACAGCTGAGAAATCTCTGGCCAAGTTTATGTTTCTGGGTTATATTAATCATTTGTTATTTACTGTATTTTAACTAGGTGACAATATAGCCTAGTCAAGCCTGACGAAATTCACGTGACCTTACGAACCATATAGTTTCGTCAATTCGTCAATGACGAAACCTATGGTTTCGTTTAATTCATCAACGGCAAAAATAGTTTCGTCATGCATCTATAGTCAAGCCACATTCTAATGCACTGAAAATTTACTACGTAAAATGTCAAACTCAATACGTAACATAATCGATTCCTAAAACAGGAACAATAATATTTAGAGTTAATTTTCACCAGGTAGGATAAACCGAAATAGAAATTTTAAAAAAGATACGTATACGTACGTAACATTGAAAATTTCTTCATTTAGTTGTCTACTGTATTCTTAATACAATTTTGTAAATTAATGCTTAATTATCAGAAAGGCATGCATGTAAAAGCCCCAAAACCCCAAAAAATTTTGTGATCAAAATGAATACGTACAGTACGTAAAACTTTAACATAATAATACGAAAATTCTGTAATTCAGAACATAAGAAGCTGCGAATATGGTTGTATTCTCAATCTCTAAAGAAAAAAGGTTATTCCCAATATTGTCTTTTCAGAGCTTTTCGTACATTCTCAGCGCAATTTACTTTTTCGAAACATTCCCACGAGTCACCGCTTTCAATGGGGTTTCAATTGCATTACCTAATGAAGTGGCTATTATATCTCTTGTTTCGTGGGTCTTTTATGAACTCGGCAACCTTAAAAATATCACAGCAGCCCGCATATTTCGTGTAATCGATGATATTGTAATTCAATTTGGATTTTTTTCAAGCATTATTCTTTCATGCGTTTCATCCGATGTATCTTGTAAAGATATCAGGCCGATTTTATTTATTATGATGCTTCTAACAACAATGTTTCTAATTTGGTTCAATTTGCGCTTTTGGTGTATTAGTCCAGAAAGAACCTGGATACTAAGAACCGGTATTTGGTTGTGTTTAATGAGTTTTACTTACATATTTATTTTTAACTCGCAAATAAACCACCAAAAAGTTTCATTTTCGTCGATGCTCGCTTTTCTTTTTA